GAGCCTACAGATTAATTAAAATATAAAATTTTTGTTCAAAACTTTCTAAGTTATTAATCATATCTAATACTATAATTTTTTTTTTTTAATTGTGGAATAAAATAGATGGCTGATCCGAAATCCCTTTTAGTTGAGCATATTTACTGTGAAGCCCTGCATGTATAGAAGACTGTGAATAAAATTAATTTTTTACAGTTATCACAACACCGAACATTTATACAATTGTGATGCTGTTTATCGAGCGATTTTCTACATAATAAGGTATTTAAGACTATTATAATATAAATGTAAATAGTGGAATAAATGGAGTGTTCTCTTATTATTAAGTACGTTTTAGAATCCCACAATGCATAAAGCAAGTAACTGATTTAAGATATTATAACAGTTAATTAAATAGTACAAATTTTGCTTTTTTTTATAAGTATTGTCACCAATAACAAGTTTAGTAAAAGGAAATAAATTTTCAAGCAACTACTTGACAGACAATACTAATTATTGCTATTAAAATGTTGCTTCTTATGTACAGGGGTTTTCTTTTCTCTTTTATTTTGTATAATACTTATATTTTAATTATCAGAAGAATACTTATCGGCCTTTCATCTATCATGGTGCAAACGGGCAGTGCTCTATGGCCCCTGAGTTAGAAACAAGAACATTTTTACTTTCGAAGCGATTGATCAAATGCTCTATTACATTTTTTTTAAACAGCTAGTTACGATTCTGATGTAAAATATTTATATTATTTTTTTAATAAATGAAAAGAATTGCCCTGTACATTATTTAGTTTTAAAACTATGCCTGATAAAAAACAGACTTCATAGTGAAATTTAGTATGTAAGGAAATTATTGCTATTTTGAGTAAATATTTCAAAAAAATGCTACACTTATTTAAGTTACAATTTACCAGGCGGTATTTTTAATTAACAACGTACTGTAGTTAATTAATAAAGTACTAAGATGTTAACACATGGTTTCAGAAGGCATGTGCAAACTTTCATTGCTTCCTTTCTTCATTACGTCGATACTTGGATGTTCTTGAACAATAAGTTGAGGTGGTGCATTTGTAATTTTGGATGATGTCGGTTCTTTAAGAAGTGGCGTTATATCATCCGATATGCCAGTGATGTCTTCAGTTAAGTCTTTCTTCTCGGAAGTAGAGGGCAAATTCCCCTCTTGATTGTCTTTGTCGGCACAAACGGATGGATCATATTCCACGGCACTAGCTCTTCGTAACATTCTTAGCCCGTATTTACCATCAACCGATTCGTTGATAACCTTTAAGAAATTACCATCGTTGATGTCCTCGTATTCTTCGTAGCGCCGTTGGATCAAATTTTCCATTAACATATAGTCGCTCTCTTCAGCGTCACGGAGGTGTTCTTTTTCTATATATAGGGCGATCTCTGGGTTCGACATCTCTGATGCATGACGTTTCCTTGAGGCTGAAAAATGTCAATTTATAACAACAATTTTATTTTGTAATCGGTTAATATAATAGTACCTTGTCCTGATGGTCCGGCATCTCCAGGTCTTGGCGGTGATAGTAAATTGGGAGTTATTGGGGGACTGAGAAGTCCACAGACCGTTTCCAATTCGTCTGTTATACTCGTGTACTCAGCATGCATCGCTATAAGCATCGACCGTGGATTAGACTGTTGTCCAGATGGTGGAATTACTTTAATTTTCGGTTCTGCAAATGTCACACTTCGTTCTACAGTAACAGCTCTGGCTGGAAAACCCACTGTAGATACATGTTCTGTATTATCGGGTTCAGACTGTGTTTGTGAAATTTGACGACGACTTAGACTTGGTTTACTGCTGTACAATGACTCTTCGCCTAAAGATAATAATTAATATTTAGATTATTTTGGAAACTATTATTTAATTACAATTTGTCTTACCGTTTCCATATTCGGAATTTATTCTTGAATCTTTTCTACTACGTGTTAAGTTTCGCAGTTTATTTGCTTCCATCGTGAGTGATGCTACCTCATCCACTGACAAATCTTCTTCAGCTTGATCAGCCGTTTGAAGTGATAGTTTAGAACCAATTCGATTATCAAGTTCATTTAAATTTTGACTGCCTATAACAATATATTAAGTGTAAGAGTTATTAAATATAAATGCTGTTCTAGATGAAGATATGAAGCATTTAACTTTCTAATCTTGTTTATAAATTATATCTAAAAAAAAGTGTTCAGACTTTTGTTTTAGAACTTTTGAAAACGAAGAACAAATGCGACTATTACAACTTTAATATTTACTTTAAATACTGTACTGTAAAGATTTATTGCATATTTACTTAATCTGCATTTTATAATTAAAGAAGACCATCATGAGCTTTCTACTTAACATGCGAACTTGTTAGTAATAACGTTAGCTTTGAATTAGCAAAAGAAAGCAAAAATATAATAACTTGTTAAAAAGCAATGATTGAAAAATGGGGAGAATTTAGGAAAGAACTGTACTGTACAGAAACAGAAAAAATTTAAAATTGTTTATTATCGATTTTGGTCAGTTATTAATTTTGAACCTTTTTCGTAATAATAATCAAGCAAATACAATACAAAAAGATCCTATACAGAAAATCTGTTATTTCTTGTATTATTAGATTTAAATAAAATTTCCAATATTATTAATGTTGTCCTTTTCCATAATGATTTTCCTTCCAGGTACCTCCCAATAATTGTTTTTATACACCTTGATAAATGTGACTCATCAGAATCCACCCTAAAATATGTACCACTTTCAGAAAATTTACAAGGCAGATAAATAATTAGTGGTAATCTAATTTGTCTTTCTTTTTATTTATTTTCAAATAATTTATGCTTCAAAAACTCATTGACTGATGTTAAGAATTAAAAATGTTTTAAGACAACAATATCCTTATATATACACATAAATTTCAGCCAATATGTATATATAAAAAAGGTTCGTTTGATTTTAATACTGACAAAATTAAAAACTTACCAGCCGTTGAAATATGGTCTGCAATTTCTGGCTGTTCCCCTTGTTGCATTGTGTTCAGAGTGATTTCGAAATCATAAGGATCAGGTCGGTACTCTGTAAGCGATCGAATTGGTTTTTTTCTGGCTGGTTGAATAAATTCTTCTGAAGGCGCATCAGAACGCTCACTGATTTTTCTAACTCTTTCGTCTCCGTCTATTGGTGGCAATTCTTCAGAACTTCTTGTGGCCATAAATCTGTGAATGACGGCTAAATGTGACAAAATGTCTTGGGACGTTTCTTCAACTTTTCTTAGTCGAAATTCCACATTTTGCATGGCTGATGTTTGACTGATTTCTTTCGTGTTGATGTCTTCCACTTTCTGTAAATAAATAATATTTATATTGTATAGACATACTATTTGTTAATATCTTAATTATCGGTTATCACCTGCGTAATGTTGTCCACTTTCTCCAGTGTTCCCTTCACCCTTTCTTCCATGGATTGCATAAGTTTCAATTCTTTTTCTGCAAAATAGCCTTCGACACATTCTTCCTCAAAATCATACAGATTTTCCATTTCTTCTTTTTCAAGAAACAGTTTCAGTCCATTGTCGTAGGTTTCTCTAATTCCTTTCAGCTTTCTCTTGAAGTACTTGAATAGTAAATATAAGTGGCACAAAAGAATAAGCGGCGGGGGTAGTATGGGCTTCTGTTCGTATTCCATGACGACCGTGAACCTTTGAAACATCCACACTTGATGAGATATTGCGTTCACTTCCATAAATATATTATTAAATACAGCAATGAGAAGGTTGATGAGGAGAATATTTGCGACGAGGAGGTACATGCTCATGACAGCGGGCGTTATCCATCTACCTGTATGACAAGGAGGTTCGTCATCGCCCCCGCAAGGAGGATCTATTTTGTCGGCATACACTTCACCGTATAACATAAAATACGGCTCCAAAAACACCTGAGGCAATAATTAATTATAATATCAATATAAATTTAAATGAAAATGAGAACTTTTGATTTGAAAGTAATATAAACCAATTTATATCTTACATCTCGAGCTATTTTCCAATTTGGTTCACTGTCAGGATACAAAATGGCCTGTCTACAAACTCCAAAACTCATGAGTACAACTAGTAAAAGAACTACAAAATAAATCATGTTTTTAACCATTTTACCCATCATAGTTACGAGTGGTCCTAAAATAGAAAAATCGTGATTATAATAAACTTTCGATGAGAAAACTTTTCAGTATATGTTTACCCAAATATTTGTTGACACCCAGTATGTTGAGAATTCGAAGGTACCAATAGATAATATCTATGCAGTATATAACTCTACCTATTTTAAAAGTTTCTGCATGCAGTCTTAATGACAGTCCGGCAAGAAATATTAGAATAGCAGCAGCGTCGCAGGGGTTCCACATATTCCAACTCCATACTTTTAATTTTTGACTTAAACCTCTAGGCTCGGTTGACAATATTTCACGAACTTTTTCGCAGCCCATTCCGCATATAAATGCTATTGTGAAAAATTCTTGCCAAGAGGGCAATGATTCCATTTTTACGAGAACGGTGAAACTAAATATCATCAGGAATAAGATGTATGCAATCTGTAATGGGAAATAAAATGCAGGTAAGATTCCTGTAGAAATTACTGTTTTCATAGTATTGCAAAAAGGCTTACAGAGTGTGTCCAAAATTTTGTTATCGGTGCAGTATAAAATTCGTACAACTTCTTTCGAACTTTTAGAGGTCTCGTCCTTGTTTTCTCTGGATAAGCATATTTATCATCTATTCCGAAATAGCAAAATGTATCAATTTCAGGCAACACCTTACCATTTTCGTGGACAATAGTATCACGCAATAAAGCCTACAATAAATAATTAATTACAATACAGAAAGAACAGAAATTTAACAGACAAACAACAAATACAAAGCACAACACATAAAGCTTCAAGGGGGACACGAACGACAGCATTTCGTTTACAGAAATAATCATTCACATAAACATTTCTTGTTACCTTATCTTTTTGAAGTTTTGACTTGTTTCGGAAACTCAAGCTTCGCATACCTTTTCGCTACAACGAAATAAAAAAACGTGCGATGGTAAAACTGCATACGAATTATAATAAATTAAATTTAAAGCAAATCAAAATATGAATAAAAATGTGTAGTAAACAAATTTCGTTGTTCCTTTAAAAATAAGCATATGCATATTTGAGATTACATTAAGCACCCCCTGATACTAGTACAAAGCTAATTAAACAAATTATTCCCATAAATCTATGTACATAATATAATACTCATCTACCTACACGAATATTATACGATAATGACGATAAATCATTTACAATATAAATTCTGTACTTTAGTGAATTTAATTAAGAAAAGAATTAATTTTTTTTTGGGAAAAAATTATTTCAATTAGTAATGAGAGTTAAACCTTTTGTCCTTTAAAAAGATTATTTGTTTGCTAGCTCTTTTCAGATTCGGAAATTAGTGCAACAGAAAAGGGGATAGTAATAGTACGACTTTATTAATTGAAATAGAGATTAGTAGATGGTTATTAAAAGAAAGTTCTGGTTGTGTACCTCAGCATCTGCTATTTTGTCCGATTCGGATTTATCATCGTCATCATTTTCAAGCTCCAAATGTTCCTCTTCGGTTTGAGGCATAAGTTGTAATTCCTCTTTTGACTTGAATTCTAAATTGAATATGTGGGGTGGAAACAGAAGGCTTAATATAACCTGAAATGCGAAATAAAGGGGAAAAATAAAAACAGGAACATGCAATGGAAAATAAATAACGGAAGCGAATGAATGATGACATTCACTCAAACAAAAAATTTCTGTGCAGTACTTACCTTTAAGTTTGTATTTTTCCGGGTTCTTAGGCCGCCCATCCACAGATCTGCTAAAATTACTTGAGAACATGGGTGGGCAAGAAGAGCCCTGTGGTTCGCTGCCACTGCCAAACTAAGACAGGTTTGACCGGACCAGTTTTGGAGTTCACAGGTCAATAGTTGCTCCGCTTGATCATCATCTTCTCTGTAGCAAAAATCCAAAAGCTCCAAGGCTACAATACGTATTAGACAAAAATTACGTTTTTAGCGATTTTACTCTATTCATAAGTATATCAAGGGGCGACTAGGGTTGAAATAAAGTGAGTGTTCTGCAAATCTTTTTTCTTTGGCTGTTTTGCAGCACGTATGCACTAGTCGCACCTGCATATACCTACTAATTAATACGTTACCAATATTTTCGAATTCCTTAGCGTAACTTCTTAATTCTTCATAAACTTCCGTCTCCATGTCGTCTTCGGCTGCTTCGTGGGCCATCGCTTTATACAATTTACAAGCGACTAGAGCCTTTGCCAAAGCTTCTTCTCCGTGTTGCCACATGAGGAGCGCCATTTTCTGGCGTTTCATTAGCACAGCCCAAATCTTGATATCACAAATTAAAACTATTTAGAAAAATTAAAAACGTGCAGAAGAGGCGAAATTAAAACTAAAAAGGACCAAAACAAGAAGGTTAAGTGAATTTTATAAAATAAAATAAATATTATGAAAATCGGAGAGTATTTAAGAAAATTTGTACACCATCTTCCTTCTTATTTTGATCTATTGAAAAAAAATAATTTCTACTTGATACGTACTAATAGTTCATTGAAGGGGTAGTCAAACAGGCATAAATTCTGACTGTGTGGTAGAGCTTCAGCCAACAGGCTCATTGCATTACCATAATATCTTACGAAAGAGGTGGAATTTCTGTGAATGTGTGGCGTTTTGTTCATGACTTTCGCGTATATTGGACGAAATTTTCTTCGAGTGTAAAAAGCTCTGAAAGTATAATAATTGAAGATATTAAATTAAAAAAAAAAAAAACATGAACTGTGCGTTATTTTTTTTTAACGTAACAAACAGTTCAATTATCTGAATTATTGTATTTGTAAGTACGTACCTGTAAGCACCACCCATTAATTTATTAATAACTAGACCTATATCGTGAAGGGTATAAACGTATCCTCTCGGTATATGGGGTCTAACGTCCCGTAAAATATAACCTAAAGTATTGCTAGGACCTTGTTTGGTGTTGTAAAGTTCTTCGAGTCTCGGTATTGTCAAGAATTTACGCATACTAACTCCGTTTTCTAACAGCAACTTAACAAAGTCTATTCTATCGTGTTCTAGGGCCTGCATCATGGCCTCTTCGAGGGCACCAGCGGGCCATTCTTGACCGTAAACGAATATTTCGGACTGAGCAATGTCAACTCGATTCCATGTTAAAGCTAAACTGAGCTGTTCGGATGGGGTTAAATGCTGCGATTTAAATAGAGCGGTCAATATTGTCTGATCCAGTTCTTGCATTTGGCCTTCTGATTTCTCGGATATTCTGAATACTGTTATCTAAAATTAATTAATCATCATTTCATTAGATACGATGAAATAAATTTAATTTTTGATTTCAATACCAATTTGTATCTGTATATGAGAATGTAAACCTTTTTAATTTTTTTTGATCTGTTTATAGTTTTGGTAAAAGTACCAAAATTTTCTATAGCTTTCAAAAAGTTTGCTGTATATTTAACGTTTTTGCAAGTTGGTTGATAAAATTATGTTTGCCCTAACAAGATAATGTTCACAAGCTAATAATTTAATGACCAATTCATGAACCGCAGTGCGGAGTTTACACACAAAGTGATAGGGAAGGAATAAACGGTCGCCTGGATGCATTTATATGCACTTAAGTATATATATATATATATACTAAAACCAATGTTACCTATGACCGTGATATTGCAAGTAAACATAAGTCCAGAAAGTTTCATGGCTCGAGGGAGTGTTTTGTGTACCGGGAACTTGATTTATATTTGTAACAAATTTGCCGTCGTCCGTCCGATGAAAAGTTAGTTCAACTTCATCCAACGAGAAAACGAACTACACGCTAATGTACTTTTATAAATTATATCGCATTGTGCATTAGACAGTTATTGGTTCTATAAATGCAAAGTTCTTTTCGACTTAGAGAATTTGAAAACCAATGAATAAATGTTTAAATAAACTGATTTGCTTCAAACTTTTAAAAAGTAGGTAATAAATATTTACCAAATTTCTTTTTCTTGTACACTGTAATAGTTCATTATATAAACGTTCAGCTTGTTCAAGTCCCACCTCGAAAGTTCTTTGGATTGTGCTAATTAAATAGTCTTTCATACTTTCCAAAACTGGCTGCTCTCCGGTATCAGAATCAGAGACGTATCTGGAAATATTTTTCCCTTTTAATTAATGCAATATACTAATAAATAATGTGTCTTATCAGTAAAAAATGACTACGATTTGATTTTAATTGATTCAGACATATTTCTAAAAGGCGTTTTAATTATCTTTTGTTCCACAAAATATTCTCATTAGTTTGATAATATTTTATTAGATGTCTTACATACTTGTGAACAAAAGCAATTAGGTCAGCAGCTCGACCTGACCCGTCACAAACTACTACAGGTACAGGAGGATTGTCCGTTACATATTCCAACACAGCTCTTATGGTATTTGTACCTCCTTCGATGACTAGACAAACCACTGGTGTACTACTATGAGTATCTAGAGAATAAGTAGTAATTTTAGATTTTAAAATTTGAAGAATTTCTTTTTTCAATCAAATAGATTCTTAGTATACTGATAATTACTTTGATAATAAATGTTTGGCAGGAAACTTTGGAATATTTGACACAAGTGATTAAATCATTTTCTCTAATACATTCCCGTTTCACGACTGTAATTAATGAAACTGCCGAAATGTATTAATAGCTCTACTTAGTGTCAACACCACGGGAGTTGAAATGGGGTGTAAATAAATGGTTCACTTGCATGAACATTGAAATATACTCCAAACGAAGGCACGTTTAATTCTAACATTTTTTACCTAATTTATTGGGTAAACAGTATATAATTACTTACACGGGTGAAGCCTTTGGTTTGAAATAAATTTTTCTAATTTTCTTCTAAGAACTATTTCTGCTCCATATTTTCCTTGTGTTCCATTGTCTACCAATAAAAAATATGCATGTCTGCTATTGAGGGCTGCAAATTTAGACCTTAAAGAAAAAAGGTTTACTTATAAATATGTAAGCGCATTGAAGACATTTTAATATTTAGTAATACATAGAGATATGAGTAAATTAAATAAACACGAAAGAATCTTACGACAAAATTAAAAAGCATTTTTGTGTCCAAAGTATTAATAGATGACACTACGACGAAAATCGTATATACAATAGGATAGGAAGTTTTTCATTATTTTCATTTGTCAATAATTGTATTAGTACTATATTATCAGTGGTTTAGAAATTTAGTTTTGACTGTCATGTGGAAGCATTTGAAAATATAAACCTCCAAAAAATCTAGAACGTTTCATTCACATTTCTTTTTTTTGAAAGTTTTTGGTTGTATAATGAATTTTATCGTACCATTATCAAAATTCATTGGTAAACGAAATTTATCGTGTAGTTTTTATCTTCGTCGTTATAATAACTCGTTACAGTTTCTCACGGATCACTCACACATTTTCTCGTCACCAATTAAACAAATAAAGGACGTACAAAATGGCATTTTTAACAAAACGGCCATTGCCAAACTCAAATCTATTGAAACACGCGGTAGGGGGCTGCTTTTTTTGCCATCAAAGAATTACACAGATCATCCCAAGAAGACACCCGAACTTATTTACATTCCCCGTCTTCTAAGATGGATGAAGGTAAAGATGAAATTGAGGCTTTTAAAAAAATGGGATCCGAATTTCTCGGAAGGTGCCTTCATATACGGAAGTTTAATGGCACTGTGCCGCATAACGGAAATAATCCACGAGGATGATCCCAAACAGCTCGTTGGTTTATTGACCGAACCAGCTAGATTAAAACTGACCGAAGACATGACCCATAAACTGTCAAAACTTCAAAAAGATATAATTCAATTAAAAATGAGCGATATTAAAATATTAGTTCCGGTATCCGTTAATTTCCGGCAAGTAGGTAACGAAAAATATTGCGATATTGCTGTTCGAAGTTTGGCATTAAAATGGCTCGAAAAGAAGGGACAGCTGGTCCTGGTGGCATTAGAAGCAGAGTTCAGTAGAAATTATACGGAAGGTGCAAAAGCCGAATGGACTATTAGCAACTTTAATATTTTAGAATGCGCTCTATTAAACGAAATATCATCGACTGCAAGATAATCATTTAACAACCAACTAATATTCATTGCATAAAAAAAGGAAAAGCGCAATCAGAAACCAATAATTTGTAACAACATCAAAAATAAACTTCAGGTCAACTCAATTCGATTTGTTTAAGATTATATGCGTTAAAATACACGCAAAGGTACTGAAAATCAGCTATTGATGAAGCACAAACTTCCTTCTCTTTTCATATGCTTTCAACTACAAAATAATTTGAATAAATATTTTTTGTCATGATAATTAGCTGCTTGAGACGTTAAATCTGATAATATAATATCATAAATTTCAGTTCAAATAATAGTATTTAGACTTTTTTAACAACGCAATATGAATTTCAAAATATTTTGCGAACATTTTATTTATTGTTCTTCGTAAATCAACTACATAAAGACAGGTTTAAGGGACGACACAAAACAGAATTTAATCCGATTAGAGGATCATATGCAGTCAAGCTCTGAAAATAAGGATAAAAGGAAAACATTTTATCCTCAACGCACAACACAAAATTCGTGTAATAAAAGGGATTTACATAGTTCGAAAATAAAACGAAACGACAGAGAACAGATCATTTCATTAGCTTAGTGTAGCGAAAATTATTTTAAGGATTCATCTACAGGAATGAGAAAAGAGTTTGTAGCCGATTTATATGCAATAGGACTTTATCTATTTCTACAACACAATTTGTAAATGAGATATTAATTAAAAGGAGGAGTAATGCATGAATTGTTGGTTTCTAAAAAGAAATTTTTTGAGAATTGCATTGGCAATGTTCTACGAAATTATTTTAACATGTTCCAGAAACTGTTTTCAAAATTTTTTAAAGAAATCCCTTTAAAACTTGGGTCATTTACCTCGGTGATGATATAGAGTGAAATGGGACATCGCGATTGAGACCGATAAGTTCATGATTGTTTTCAACTATTCCCCAAGGGGCGATACCCAACGAAACCACCCTTCCACTTCGTTGAGATCTTTCTGTAAGTAAGGCATCGCCCACTTGACGAGTAACACCTGAAAATAAAGACCAAATTAATTTCTACTTTACAGTTTCCATTTCTTCTTGTTTTAGGATATAGTCATTATAGTCAATACACCTGTATTGGATTTGATTGTGCAGTTTTAAATTCATTAGAATGATGTATATAAGAAAAGGTATTTTTTTTATATCAGTCACCTCTGAGCTTCTGTATCATAAATTGCGAATTCACTTCTTTGTCTGAATTGAACATCAAAAAAGAGAGCATCTTTTGATAGATTTAGCATCATTTGATGTGAGATATAGGTGGTTAGTAATCGACCAGTTATTTTTTTGACCTTACCTATTACCCTCTATATTTTTATACTTTTTTAACAGTACCTACATATTTAGAAACGTAACTGATTTAAAATTGATCGTGAAATTTAAAATGTTAATGATTATGTAAGCACAGTCCTCATATGATATCCTTTTTAAACACAACACCCCATCGTTTATCCCTGGTTACAATATATCCCCACTTTAACCATTGGCTAGTCAATTAATTTCTGATTTTGTATCTTACCTGTGTTTGTGCCTCCAGTAAAGATCCAAGCTCCTGTAGTTTTGGCAGCTTTTAACAGTCCTTTTCGTAGAACCTTCTTGAGCTTGGTTTGTAATTCAAAGTTAGCTTTGCCACCCTGAACTGTGATCAGAAGCTTTGGGAGTTCTAAATTCCATTCCCTCGTAAATAATTGGAATAACAACTCAGGCCTGGTGTCGTANTTTTTTTTTTTAACGAGGTATTATATAGACTTTTGTACATATTTAAAACTAAAAGTCTTTGTTTACAAAACGTATCGGTACACATATTAATAAGTAAATATTATTCATTAACTAATAAGGATTGTATGGTTTTCTCTTTTTTTAAATTAAAACGGATCTTTTATTTTATTTATTTTCAATTTTCTTTAAAGTTACTTTTATCCTGTGGATAGTTTTAGAAGCATAAACAGTTAAGTTTCATATTAGGTTTCCATGTAAATAAATTTAAAATTTTTATTTGGATTTGAGTTACTTAAACCCAAACAAAAAAGATTCAACTTCAATCAATTTTCCTTACACGTATATCATAAAGACACTTAAATTTTTATATTAAAACAAACAAGATTAAATATTAACTAAGATTAAAAAGAAAAAACTATTCCTGAATATAACTGGCCAGTTTTAGAACAGGGTATCTAACATGTTTCACTCTTTTTCGATTCAATCAATGCTGAGTGAGTTTTGTAGATTAAACTTTGATACAGAATTGTTGCCACAAAAGTAAAAAAGAAACATGTTTTTTAAAATCAGTTCCTGTTACAAAAGCCCAATGCGGGAAAACTTCATGAATGTTTTAAACGTTACAAGTGACTCCTTGAATACATGTTTTGCTTGTATGAATGCTTAATGAAGTCACAGTGGGACGATTTATGAAAAATTAAAAGGAATACAACCTGGCAAGGCTTGTAATTCTTTAATTCATAACTATGTTAGTTTTCACCAAGTAAAAACACAACTTTCTTCAACACTAAAAGAAATAACTGATTTAAATCGGCTTTAAAAAAATCATTGTATATTTGTTCCAACAAAAACAAAAAGAAACATCATTATAAGAGAAAAATTAGAAAAATGTCCTACATGAATTTATAGGTTAAATTTTATTTTCATTATAAAAGTACTTATTTGACGTTTTGTCCTACTGGTTATGTTAAATATACGTATATAACTCACTAACAAAAATAGTTATTGTACTTTAATACTTTAATTTTAATATATCAATTAACATCGAATTTTGATTTAAGGTTATGTGTTTTCAATTATAAAAATAACCAAGTATTATCATTAAAAATGTGTAGTATGAAAACCTGCTATTCCAATTTTTAAATGGTCTTTTTACGAGTTACTGTCCGATTGAGATAAATTATTAAATTAATAATTGAATTCAATATTTACGTAATTGCAACTTAAAAATTGACAGACGAAGTATACTCCACAACGCATCAGGGGTTACTAACCAAGAAATCACGTGTAATTGTTATAAAGATATTCGAGGCGTCTGGTTGGATGTTACTTCTTCCCGCCATCTATTAACCAATCAGAAATTGGGTCAAATAAACCATGCTGTTTGTGTGGGTGTTGTTTGGTATGCGGTTGTAAATAATAGTAAACAATCTGTTCATTCAATCAGTAGCGCCAGGCGCCTCAACATTCATTCATTGCTGTATAGAACTTACAAAGGGGATAATTTAAGAATTTTTAAACCGATTTTGGTGCGGTTTACACCAAAATTTAAGAAATTTTACAGAGAATGATTATAGTTTACAAAATTTACAAAAAAATTTCACATTTGCTTAAATACATATAAACAAAAACACAATAAATATGAAAATGTTGCACAACAATATGCTAATAATTGAAATTATGAAGGAATAATACGCTATTGGGTAGGCAGAAATTCTTCATTATTATTATGATTATTTACCTGAGCTTTGGTAGGATGTGGCCCCCCTTGGAATTCTATGGTACCATAAGCGTCTGTAGGTAGGGGTCTAGTATGTTTTGATGGCTGCCATATTTCACCAACAGTAGGTACATCTTGATCCGACGAAACAGTATGTGATGTCGCTAGACGACCACAACAACACCTGTAATAAAATAAAATAAATTAGGCAACGATCACTACTGAAATATGCAATCCAACATACATCCTCTATTACCAAAATGCATAAAGTGTTATTAATTGCTATGGATATCGCGTAACAGTTAACTAAAATGCAATGAATAATAACGCAGGTCTGCGATAAAAAAGTTTTTTGTATAAATTTACCTTAAGCATGCAAATGTTGGTCTATAATTTGCAAATATAAACTTTGTTTTAACGTATCACGTCACATTTTTTCTTGATGTAGATTAATATATGTAAATGTATATAGCTCTTTGAATCGGCAAATTTATTTGTTTTTTCACAAAATTAATTTTATAGCTTATATTTCTATTTAATACTCTCTGACTGAGCATTATATTGTCTTTTACTTTATTTTAGATAGTCTGAAAGTAACTATAGTCGTTTACACCGCCTGAAAAAAAAAATAGTTTATAGCGCGCCATTATTGAGAGAGATATAATATTAACGTGTAATAAAAGATTGTGTTTCATTTATCTTTAACTATGGCTTCTGTAAAAACAATTCAAATGTATTTTTTTACATTTGCGGACAATATACAATAGTTAAGCAAAGATTGAATATAACAGACTTTGTAAAAAATGCTTATTAAGCTTACTTCAGAATGAAGTTGTCACCAAGATAAACACTGGGTTACGATAAAATATGCCGGTTATGTGTTGAAGTGTTAAGACAGTGGACTTATGGTAAATCAAAATCATTGTTATTCGGTATTTCTGTCCAAATTAGAATGCAATTGGAAGTCGGAGTGAAAAATGTCATCAATACGAGTTTGAAAGAAGAAAGTATTGCTTCCACCACTTTACATTAAACTTGGTTTGATCAAACAGTTTGTAAAGGCATTTCGACTTGACAAACGGTGATTATTTCATGTTTAGATATCGAGGTCATGTTTTATATAGGTTTTAAGCATATACAAAAATCGTAAGGACACAAAAAAATCTTTTTAAGAAAAAAGTCAATTCAAAAATCACGTTTTTTTTGTTTATTTTCGATTTTTCCATGCTTTAATATTATCGGAGGTATTTTTAACCAACATCATCGAAAAGAGCATCGTTAAAAACATAGAAACACTGGTTATCGAGTATTTTTTCGTCGCACTCATTACGTGGTAAGGATTCAAATGGACATGTGTTCTCTGAGCATTTATGGATTAATGTGACGTGACATAAACCATATGAATATCGTTTTCTATTACTTTTAAGACAATTACGACAAATATTAACAATTTAAGAAAAAACTTTACAAAAAAAAAAATTTCGCAGACCTGTGTAATCAAATCGAGAATAAACAATACCAGCGACCAACATAAAGCACAAAAATAAGTAAATTTATTTTAGGAATGCTTCACAGTAGTTACAGTACCAATTTTCTCATCGAAATTGTAATAGCGCAGCTGTTTCCTTTTAATTAAAACCAATCAAAGAAGAGTTGTTACGATTAATTAAACAATGTATGCTTGTAATGTTTTGTGTTTATAAGAGATTAGGATATAATTATTCTTTCTTATTACTTGACAGACGGTATTAAATGGCATTATTGCAATTAATTTTTTTTAATTATGACGTTCTAGTCGCTAAAGGCATTCTTAAAAATGTTACATTTTCAAACATGTGCATATAGGTACAAAAAAAATAGAAAATAAGAACAACCTACAATTTAAAAATAAATAAATAATAAAAATAAGACGTAAACTTCAGTACACTTACTTTAATTTGATTAATTAGGTAATATTATATTATATTGATTCAAAGTGATTTTTTAGTGTTAATTACTTGTACTTGTACATTTTCCTTCGAGAGCATATATATTGTAGGTAACATCATAAAGTTAAAGTCTACTAATAATAATTAAATTATTCAATTTCAGCATTACTTTGAAAATGCGCGAAGAAGTGTTCTATTTAATTGTACAAAAGATCATAAAATTGTTAGATGTAACGAAATTAATCAGAAAGTGATAGTACTGGTATACTGGTACATCATTTGAGAGTTACAGCTTCAGGCGACTCTTAATCAAATCAGTCCAGAATAATACGATAAGAGACATATTTCTCGAGAAGAGATTAAAGGAAAATTAAAAGTAACGTTCCCTTTTTGGTGGAAATATTTTACGAATCGATATAACTTTTGATTAATTAGGTTATAATCTGACAATTTTATGATATGCATAAAATCCGTCTACATGACAAAAACGTTTAGCTTCTGCAAGCTTCGCAGTTTATGTTCAGTTGATAAATTATGAGAACATTAAATTATGAAGTCAACTATCAACCCTTTACATTTTTTATCACCATTCAGCCATTTAACGAGGTTCGACAGTTAGTATTAATGCATATAAAAATGTTAAGTTGTACGAGTCACATTACAAAATTTGAATTGATAAAGATGACACTAGGTACTAAAGATAAAAAAAATTAATTATTTTTAAAACCGTCAAAAATCACGTACCTACCCTTAAAATGGTGAAGCTTTTTTATTTTTCACCGCATTTTTAATATTTAGAGTTTACTTTATATCATTGCTAATTTTTCAGCTTCATTGAATAAAATTTTACAGATGTGTCTCGAAAGTGTTTTTTGTAAATAAATAAGTAATTGTACAAGAGACAATAAACACGCCAACAATTTAAGAGTAAACGATTTATTTACCAAATGAACATTGGAAATATATGCACATAAATAACTAGATATTGCAACCATACTGGAGATGACAGTTTGTTGTAAAGTTTTTGACGTTTTTATTTTCCTTTTTAATTTTTTATATCATCAATAAATGAGTATCTTATAGGAGGGTGTGTTGGAGCGATAGTGATGGAGTTTTTTTTTTAAGAAACGTTAAGGACTGCATTAAAATTGTAATAGATTCATTTCATTTAAATATTCATCAGTCTGCCATAATTAAGAAAATTCACCCTTTTAATATGCTAATATGTATTATACATATTTAAAAGTGTGTACTTTTTCCATCTTGCACGCTTTAATAAATTACTTATTTGAATCTTGAGGCAAGGGCACCCCTATCAAATAGATATGCAAATATTAAATGTCAAGAGCGGGGTGTAGTTGTTCGGATTCAAACAAGCATAAATATTCAAAGAATAGAGTAACTGAGGCGAATAAACAAGCATTAAATTGGAGACACCTGTAGAAACTAGAGATGTGAATTTAATATAATTTTCTCTGACACACGAATTGTATTTTCATTAAAAACTTATTAGATGCCTAAAACATCCATGGGCAAGGTTTTTCTTACAAATATCTAATAGTTATTATCAGGCCTTTAGAGAAGTATTCCGTTTTGGGGGAGGGGGGCGCAACATTTTTTTTCAACTAAAGTTTTTATACACACGTCCAAAAATATGCATTTATAAAAAAAATTATTATCAAACATTAATGTTGAATCAACTTAATTTCATATCACTATAGAAAATAAATAAAAGTAAAACTAAAATACTGGTATGCAAGGGAAGAAAAAGTAGGGAAAGAGCGAATATAAAGATAGGAGACGAAAAATTAGAAGAAGTGGCTGATTTTAGATACCTAGGAAGTCAGATAAGTCAGGACGGAAGGTGTAGTAGGGATATAAAGCAGAGGATAGCGCAGGGTCGTGTCGCCTTTAATAAAAGAAGTCACTTCTATGCTCGCGAACGGTTAATTCAGAAATTCGAAAAAGGTTGTTAAAGGTGTATGTTTGGAGTACGGCGTTGTACGGGTGCGAAATATGGACAGTGGGCGCGGCGGAAAAGAAAAGGTTAGAAGCGTTCGAAATGTGGTGTTATAGGCGGATGATGAGGATAACGTGGGTAGAAAAGGTTAGAAATGAAGAGGTGTTGGAAAGAATAGGAGAACAGAGGACTCTATGGAAGTCAATAAAAAATAGGCGAGATAGGTTGGTAGGACACCTTCTCAGGCATAAAGGTCTAGTCAAAGACATATTAGAGGCAGAAACAGGAGTAAAGAGGGGTAGAGGTAGACCTAGATCAGATTAATGTTCGCAAATAGTTAAGGATGTTGGCTGTTCTAGTTTTATGGAAATGCGAAGTTTAGCTCAGGATAGGAAAGAGTGGAGGTACATGTCCAACCAGTCTTAGGACTGACGACCTTATGATGATGATGACTATAGATTACTTCAAGTTAATAAGGTCTAACTGTTTGATGCTACTATCATTGCCTTGCCTGGAATCGATCCCGAAAAACTTAAAGTATTGATATTAATAAAAGAAGTATCTAATACAATAGGTTAATAATAATAACGAATTCGCCTGTTTATGTTTCATCCGTAAATCCACCATATTGTTAAGGTCAAAAACATGGCAAAGGTCTTTTTGGCTTTTTATCATCGTTAGGGCATCAAGTCTCTATTCTTTAATGATGGACCTAGCTGAATTATTAACTATTTTAAGTAAACTAAATTTCTTTTCGTTCGAAGCCACCGCCGAAAAGCTCGCTGTAAATGTTACCTGACAAAGACGAAAAGCTTCTCTAACTGCATAAGAATCGCTTAGAACTTAGGCATGTGATCAGGTGGATACAGCAGAATCAATTTTTTAGTATTTTCACTTGTAATATTTTTTTTTGTCTAAGAAGTTCTTGGGAATGCTTGATATTAAATCCAAACGTTCTACAACCATTTTGAGTTTGTCTCGTAAAAAGTGTTTGTAATTTGATCTTAAACGATTAAAAATTCTTTTCTATAAAACATATTTATATCAAAGCTCGCTGCATTGGATTCACAGTTATTAATTACTGCCGGAAGTTTTCGTTTTCGGATTAATTTTAACATAAATTTTGGTACTTCTTATTAAGTTTAGAATTTTGTTGTTGTTCTGTTGAAATTAGGGATTCTCTAGTTCTATTAATAATAATTTCTATAATGTTCCAGTCTTCCGCTCCTGTTTATCCCGTTTTTACAAGGTTAGAAACTTCTAAATTATTATAACGCACATTAACACAATTAATAA